GGAAGGAAGAAAGAAAGAAAGAAAGAAAGAAAGAAAGAAAGAAAGAAAGAAAGAAAGAAAGAAAGAAAGAAAGAAAGAAAGAAAGAAAGCAAGCACCTAGCATCTACATTGTGGAAACACCACTTCGGTTAACAAGTGTAACTAACACAAATAGACTCAGAGGAGAATTATTCTTATCCTCCCCGCCCCTGCCCCCCATTTCTAAAGGAAAGTTGTAAGAACACAGGCAGGTGTGGAGCTGGACGGAGCAGGCCTTTCTCCTCCGCTTCTCTCTCTCAGTTCCTCTCCCCGTTCACAGTCTGCTGCAGCCCTGACCCTGACTGCTCATTGTTCCTTGTGGGAAATGGCCAAGATGCCAATGGGCTCTTGGATGTCCCCAGCACCGAAATCACCATGAGTCAGCACAGCATACACTGCTCTTTTGTGAGCTCTCTGTTGCCTGGGCAGAGCAGGCTGGGCAGGATAGTGTGGGAGGGGCGGTCACCAGAGGAGGAGGGCTCCTTCTGCCTCCAGCAGCAGATAGAATCTCTGCCCTTGGGGGAGCTTATCATTGGCGTTTATAGCATTTGCTCAAAATGTCAGTGCTTTCTTTGTGGCATAGAACATTAAGTACAGGTCACAGAACAGAACTCCCACTTCCTGGGACATTTACCACTGAGTACCACTGTTGAGGTGCCGGGAGACATTTGCAGCAGAGGCCTTGGGATGCTCCGAACTTTATATGGGACCAGATTGCAGTTCATAAAAGCCATGAGGAAATGTCAGCGCTATTCATACAGTCTGAGAGGTGGTCTTAAAACTCAGGTGTGGTGGACCACTAAGGTAGTCACAGGGGAAGGGTGAGCTGGGTTTGTTTGTTTTTCAGAACAAAGTAAGTTCATGCCGGGTGACTGTGCCTGGGTTCTGTGGAGCCAAACCACTACACTAGCTACTTCTAAATGAGCCCATCCACCACATGGGAAGGACCCATCACCCGCTTCTGATGTGGGATGGGGCGTCTTCCAGCCTTTAGCTTAGTGCCTGGCCAAAGAAATGCTGCTGCCATTACCACTGCATCCTCCAGCCTCGTAGACTCAGAACTTGACTGTCCAGCTTCAAAAGACCCTGGGTTTGGGTTCATGTTTGGTGCAAGCCCTTTTCACTTATGAAGACGGTATCTGGCTTTTCCCAACCACTGTGACTTCATGTGGCAAGATTGTCACCTCAGAGTCTACATTATCGCAGCTGCTTTGTGTCGCGTGGTTAGACTTCGTGTCTTTGAAGTCTGATATCAGAAACCACATCACTGTTGAATTAAACAGAATATAGCGGAGTGTGTCCTTCAGTCAAAGACTTGAATTTCACCAGTGCTGTCATAATGCATTTTCCTTTGAACCTCAGCCTCTACCAGTACTAAAACCAATAAAACACCAAGTGCTCTTCTTTTAAGGTTTGTTATCACACATGATCCGTAAACCATAAAATCACACTTTTAAAATTTATGATTAGTAAGCCAGGGCTTTATTGTGACTCACACCTTTAATCCCAGCACTTAGGAAGCAGAGGCAGGAGGATCTCTGAGTTTGAGGCCAGTCTGGTTTAGAGAGAGAGAGAGAGAGAGAGAGAGAGAGAGAGAGAGAGAGTTAGTTCCAGGACAGCCAGGGCTACACCCTATCTCAAAAAAAAAATAGAAGAATAAAATTTATGATTAGCCAACTCTAGCATATATTTGCTGAACTAGGCAACCATCAGCCCAGGCATCGGACTTTTGGAAAGGTTTGTCACTTGCCACGAAAGAGGGCTTGTTACTTCCATTCTTCTCTGGCCTCTGGTAAATCCCAACCTGCCTTCCGACTCTAGATGTGCCTGTCTCAGACATTTCATATAATAAACCCACACAGCGCCTCTTGGGTCTGACTTGGAAAACTGCTGTGCCTTGTACTTAATTCCTATGGTTGAGAAATACTGCGCTGTGTGAATATACCACATTATGTTTACACATCTGCTGGTAGACATTTTGGATTGTTTCTGGTTTGCACTCTTATGAAATATAGGTATGACCATTCACGTACAAGTTTTTGTGTTGACACATCTTTCCACATCTCGGGTGGATACCTAGAAGTGGGTTGGTGAGCTGGTACTCGCGTGTTAACTCTTTGGGAGATGGCTAATCCCCTTTCCAAAGGAGATGTACAAGCTCAGATTTCCGTCCAGGTATGAGTGTTAATGATTTGTCTACATCCTCAGCAGCACTTGGTGTTTACTTTTATTTTTCATTGCAGCTATCTTATTGGAAATGAGGTGTTTCATTATGCTGCTTGGTATATACTCCAGGGCTACCGATACCAGGTATGCCCATGTCCTTACTGCCCATCTGTGGGTCTTCCTTTTCATAAATGTCTATTCAGATACCTTATTTTTAATAGCAGGTATTTATTGTTATTATATATTTGTTATTGTATCTTTGTTGTCTTTTTCTTGTTGACTTGTAAGGGTTCCTTTGCTGTGGGTCTAGGAGAATTAGCTCAGTAGTACAGCTCTTGCTTCCATGCAGGAGGATCTGGCTCAATCCTGCTGAATGCATTCATTTCATACTCTTTAAGCATTAGGTCCTCATCCCAATTGCCTTTTCAATTTCCTGGTACTACCTTTGGAAGGACAAAAATCTCAGTTTTGATGAAACCTGATTCATATACTTAAAAATGTTTGTTGCTTGTGTTTTTCTACCAAATCCAGGAAATTATTGCTCTCTCTTATCCTACGTGATGGGAGGGAGGAGGTGTACAGTGGTGTTTTCTCCTCAGAGAGTTTGGCTCTATCTAATATATTTTGAGTTCGCAGTTGTATGTGATGAGGTGGTGTACCAACAATGAGAACAGCTACATGTGGATATCTACTTGCTTAACTCTGCTGGAAGATTCTCTTTACCAGCTGAATTATCTGAGTGCTTGTCAAATATCAGTTAATCGTAAATGTATGATTTCTTTCTAAATTCTCTATTCTATTCCACTGAATTTCTCTGGTTTCTTTCTTTCTTTTTCTTTCCTTCTTTCCCCTCCTCCTCCTCTTCCTCCTTTTCCTCTTCCTCCTCCTCTTCTTTTTCAAGACAGGGTTTCTCAGTGTAGCCCTGGCTGTCCTGGAACTCGCTCTGTAGATCAGGCTGGCCTTGAACTAAAGAGATCCACCAGCCTCTGCCTCCTGAGTGCTTAGGTTAAAGGTGTGTGCCACCACCACCTTTTGAAAAAAGTTTGAAATTTCCTCCATCTTTGTGTGTGTGTGTGTGTGTGTGTGTGTGTGTGTGTGTGTGTGTGTGTGTGTGTTTCTTCATTTATCTAATCCTGGGTCTCCTGAATTTCCCTGCGAATGTTATGATCTATATATTCATCTGCCTAAAAGGAAATTGACACTTGATAAAGATTGTCTTGAATTTATTGGTCTGTTTTGGGAACATTACCATCTTAATAATATTAAGGCTTCCAACCCATAATGTTCTCTTTCTTTATTTAGATATCTTCTGATTTTTTTTAATAGTACTTTGAACTTTTCTTTGAGACAGGGTCTCACTACGTGTCTTGGCTGGCCGGGGTCTCACTTAGACCAGGCTGGTCGCAGAGATCCACCTGCCTCTGCCATCCTCACACGCCCCCACCCCAACCCCCCAAGTGCTGGGGTCAAAGTTGTGACCACCCAAGCAGGCGGGCTACGTCATACTTCTGTGCAGCACCCTGGAGCACTTCGTGAGCATGACACCGACTGCTTTGGACCTTGTGATAACTCACTTCCATACCATTTTAAAGTTATTTACTACTGGGTTTTAGCAGTAAGTTTACTTGCGTATTATTTCTGGAGGATATTAACAGCCTCCAGTTGTTACATGTGTGGCTTAAGAGTTGTAGACAGTTGTGTCATCTACAAAGTTTTGTTTCTTTCCCTTTTCTTGCACTGGTAGGACATCCCTGGTTTTCCTATGGAAGGAGAAAACCGGAAGTCATGGGCATTAGGTCTCTCACTCTTGCATTTACCCTCATCATTATCTTAAATTGTGTCTTTTACTTTTGTGACATGGTTTAATCTTGCTACGATCTTATCCTACTTTTAGCCTCCCATACAAATCATGCAAAAAACAGAATGTATTACTGTCTTCTGGGAGTGTTTACCCTTGAACAAGGAGAGGGAAAAATAATAGTTGGCCTGGCTCTTAAGGGCTGGAAAAGACTCAACATACAGTCTCTGATTCTGGGTATTCAGAGTTAGTGAGTCTTAGTGAGTTCTACGGATTGAACCTGCATTGACTTCATGCTAGACACCCTACTAAGCAACACCACCACCACCCCCCGCACCCAGCCCTTTACTTCTTTAAATTTTGAAGCAGTCTCACTGGGTTGCCTGGCAGCCTTGAACTTTGAGGCCCTCCTCCCTCACCCTCCAAGCAGCCCGATTACAGGCCTGCACCATGGCCTTGTAAGAGACCTTTAGAATGTCTAAGGTAAAAGTAGATCGGCTGAAGTGAATTGGTGCCAATAGCTCTGTGTACTCTTGGAAGCCCAGATGTCGGCTGGGAAGTACCTACCAGCCTTCTACAGTCTGTGTGTTCCTATTTTTGGTACATAAGTAACCTCGGAGAAAGTAGAAAAGGCTAGAGGGAAATAATACAGTGAATTAGCATGCTCAGAAGCTACCCAAGACAGGACATTCCTGAGATATGCTGGACTGCCCAACCTGAGCTGCAAGGGAAGATCTGCTCTTTAGGCGATGTTGGTTATATCCATTTGGCCATGAGATACATGGAAACCTGGCCCTTCTCCAAGCCAAGGTAGCCAGCTGGTGATGTTTTTGATTTAACGCCAACTGACTACCAGTTTCCTGTTGCCGGAACTGAACCTCAAATTATACCTAAGAAAGGCAGAGCAGGTTACTGGGGTATGACTCAAACCTTGTGGCTTCTAAATTCTTTTTCTCTCTTAAAGGTGAAGGACATGGGTGGGGTGGTGAACCAGACATAGTCAAAACACTGAGACATATTGCAGTCAGATCCATTTCATTTTATTATGAACAAACACAACCTCAGATGAGTAGAAATACTTTCAGAGTTGGTATTAATGAAAATTATTAATTACAAATAACTACTGTTGCACATAATAAAGGAAAAATCCCACCCAAGGAAGGAAATGGAGTCCTGCATGTTTTCATAGCAATGAGTATACATTATCTAACGCATCCATTCAATCTCTGAAAAGAATGATGTAGATTAACAATGTCATCTGGGACATAGGCACGTGTCAAGTCCATGGTGGACACAGTTACTATAAAAATGTGCAGGACTTAAATATTCCTCTGCTGAGGATCCCCAAATGTTTTATAAAGAGCATTTAGCCATGCTCAAACCTACCCACTGAGGTAGGTCAGATTATTATCCCAGTTTCACAGAAGTAATACTGAGTCACATTATTGTTCAGTGACATGTCCAGTGCTATGGTTTGAGTTTGTCCCATAGTTCATGGGTTGGAAACTTAATCCCCAATGCAACAGTGTTGACAGCTGGGACCATTAAGAGCTGATTAGGTCGGGAGGGCACTTCCCTCATTAACATCCTTGTCCGAGGATTGAATTCATTATTGTCAAAGTGGGACTGTTACCAAAAAACGGAGCGTGGTAGGAGGCCCTGGCCATCACCGCCAGCATAACATGGTCGCCGCCGCCTCCTTAACCTTCCTACTAACCTATTTCAACTAAAGAAGACGCTCAGGATACTAGCAAACCATGAAGAAAAGCTTTCACTTTAAATGCTACAACCAGCGTTTAGTCTCAAAACAAATAGCAAAACCTACAAGTCACATACGTTCAAATTACTTCCACCATCCATCAGCTATGGGCACTTCATCGAAACAGCCCTAAGAAAAATTCCCCAAATGAAGCCCCCAAAGGGAATGCTGCAAATTGATGTACAGTGACTCCTCCAGCCAGGTCAGTTGATACTGCCACATTTACAGGCTCTCCAGTTTCAAGGGACTCCACAGAGGCAGAGTGCAGGCTCACAAGCAACCGATTAAAGAGGTAAGGCACCCAAGTCAGATTTTAGCATGTCCACAAGGCAAGGACTGTTAGGAAGTCACTCAATCAGATCTTAGTTTCGTATTAATGTGTCACTTGATTTGAGCTTTAAAATCTTGAAAGTAGTATTCCTTAGTGAGCTGGCACACCCTTATCAGCAGATACATTTATAATGGGGTCCTCAGCCACGGCATGGTTCAGATCCATGGGGCAGGCTTAGAAGAGAAAATTGCTTTTGTTTTTCACATATTATTTAAGCGGGCACCTGCTAACCAGTGGAACTAAAATCACCCAAAAGGCATTTCCAAGGAAGAGGGCCACAGGTCAGCAAATACACTGTAATCTCCCAAGAATTCTGTTTTAGTGAACAGCTAAAGGATAAGGCTGCTTTCATGTGGGCACACAGAGGTCCTGAAGCCTTTATTCCACCAACACAGGAAGACTGTTCCCTCTAACCACTGGGGCGCAGTAAGTCTATATAGCATTTGGTACACTACACAGCCAATCTCAATACAGCAGACCCACATTTCTGCAGTGCTCACTGAGCTATAGGGATAGACACGCCAATTAGTTTGCTGAACAAAATCCTCTTTTTGCAAAGTCCATGGCATCTCGACCTCCTTAGCCAGAGCTTTGCAACAGACCTTGGCTCCAGGTAAGGGATTCCAGCTGAGGCACTTAAGAACACAGACCTGGTTTCTTGTGCTTTGCACTTAGCCAACATGTCGCCCAAGGAGCTTTGCTGAACATGCAAGGGAGCACTGAGCATGCTCTGCCCTGACTCACTTTGCGGCTAAAAACCAGGAACTGTGTCTCGCCCTTCCCCGGCACACTGGCACAACAGGACTATTTGTTTTGGAATGACTCACGAGAAAAAGAACCTCTCTGAGTCAGGGATGTTTCTAGAAAGTTTGCCAACCTTTTTCTTTACAGTTCCCAGAGTGTCAGAAGCCTAAGGGATAGAGGTGGAGGATTTGAAAGTCACCGGAAAGGGGACAGCCAGCTCTCCTTACTACTGATACAGCGTCCTATCTCTGAACGAGAAGCCGCTGGAACTGCACATTTACTGCCTGTGAATACACAGGACAGTTCTGCCTAGAACAAGACTAAATGTCAAAGAGGAAAGAAAAAAACAAACAAACACACAACCCAAACCACAAAAATGGGTAGGAAAAAGAGGCAGACGCGGTAGAGCTAAGAGATTTTGGCCATGTGTCACAGACAGAGTCGTCCATGTAGGCCGGATGGCCAAAGAGCCAATGAGGCATGAGTCAGTATTGTAAGGGAAGCCTTACGATAAAGAGCGAAGAGCTAATGTCTAACCTGTTTCACTAGGACACCCCAAAACTTTGAAGCCCCTGGCAATATGTCCCCAGCAGATTTCCTCTGGAAAGTTATTAGGAGCTGCCTTCCAATGCCTTCCAACTTCTCCACCTGCTGCCCAGCAGTGGGAGGCACAGACAACACGTTCAGCATCTCCTTTTCGGAGGGAAGCACTCTGAGTATTTGCAGGTTCCATTGTTCAATGTATAGAAATGCCACAGCCATCCTTAATTTATGGGAGCAACCAGACAGAAGAGCGGGAATTAGAAGTTGGGCGTGCAACTCACAGAATGCTCAGAATGACGAGTGACTGTCCTCATCAATTCCAAACATGCCTCACCCAAAGACCTCTGGCTCTCATGCCCTTACGATCACTTTTTATTTAGTTATTTGACGTCTCACCAACTAGCCCTGGCTGACCTTGAACTCAAAGAGATCCACCTGCCTCTGCCTCTCAAGTGCTATGATTTAAGGCATATGCCACCCACGACGCCTGGCCCCATGTCCTTATTATTAAAGGAGAAGAAAATTCTTTCTCAGTAGAGACCACTTTCCCTACAGTTTTTTACCTTTTTTTCCCTTAAATCTTCAGCCTAAACTACACTGAGATACTGATATGTGTTACTTGTACTCCAATGTCACCAAGTCCCATGGTTGTCACCTACTCAGAATTAGGAGAGGCGGCATGCTGTGTGGAAAGGCTCCTCGGCCTCTGCGAGACAACAGCTGAGCCTGATCACACGAGATCCCCCTCTCCCACATCTTGGATGAATCACAGCCTGCATGCTGAATTTGGCCCCATAAGATTTACCTTCCATTCCATCTGGCAAAGCCTGGGCTAAAAATAGCAGGAGAAATCTCTGCAGATTTTCTTGCATCTCTAACTCAGAACAGCTTAAGAGTTGGGGGTGGGGCACAAACCTTTACTTTTAGACCCTTGGAAAGTTGGTAGGCTTTGGAAGGCGAGCACTGACCTACGGTGGAGCAGTGGCTGGCTTGGGAGGCGATGAGAAATGAGGTCAACAGGGACAAAGCAAAGAAAAAGACAACGAAAAGAGAAGAGAAGATCAGCTTAGCATCGGAAGGGAAGAGCTGCTGACTTCCGATATTTGTCCATTTTACAATACTGTACCAGAATGGGTTAACGTCATCGTTTTAGCATCTGGGTAGCAATACTCAGTAGTTAATTAACAGAACATTAAGCCTCTGCCAAGCTGGCTTTTGGAACAGAAACTGAAAGACCCCAAACTCAGCCACTCTTGTGGCTCCCATCTCCAGTTCTTTTGATCCTGGCCAAGACAGCGGCCTTGGATACTTTCTTCCGGTCATAAGCCAGGCCCAGGGCAGCCATGCAGTCGATGAAGAACGTGGTGAAGTTGATGTGCCAGCGGTACTCACTGGCAGAGTAGTCATAGGGGAAGGCGTGGTGGTAGTTGTGGAAGCCCTCGCCTGGAACAGAAGCGTGGAGAGCAGTTAGGGGGCTCGGTGATGGCTGCTTCCTGCTCTTTGCACACCTCTAACCCAGTGGGTTCCTTAGACCTTGGAGAATCAGACTGCAGGTGGGTGGGTGACTGGATAAATCCATTATCTTTTACTCTGAGCAAACAGACACTCTCAAAGGCATCACAGTTCCACTTACATTATGGGATCTACACATCTTGTCCAAATTACTTCATGTCTAAGAGGATCTTAGCACTGTAGAGTGTAGGTAATTTATTTCAAACATGAATTAAAGAACCACGAGCAATGGCCTCTGAAAAGAAGGCTATGTGCAAATGATAAAAAGGGAAAGTATTTTAAATTTATTTTTAACATTTGCATGTGTATATACATGTGCATACATGCCATAGCATGCATGTGGTAGTCGGAGGACAACTTGCACTTTTCCTTCCACTATGTGGGTCCCAGGGGTCAAACTCAGGCTGGTCAGGCTTGGCGAGCAAATGCCTTTTACCTGGTGAACCATCCTGCTAACCCAGGAAAGGTACTGTTAGTAATATCCAACCTAACCTAAGTTAACGAGTGTTATAGAGAGACGAGCACCCATCAACAGCGCCACTGGGTGACCACTGTCTCTTTCACTAAAGAAAAGAAGCCACGGGTCAGTACAGGGAAAACTAACTCCAGGCCTTTGTCAAATTCTCTTCTTGGGAGGGGCAGGAAGATGTGGGCACAGGTCGCAGAGGCATGCGTTCATTCATCCTGACAGCTGGGACTGGATTTATAGGCTGGATCAACTACAATCAAGTGATCTGATTCCCCGAGCAATGTTGTGGGGGAGGGGAGCGCTAGCACAAAATAGGAGAAAACAGAGAAACAAAGGACATGTGTGAAAAGCGGGTGGTAGGGATTGGGAAGGCGCGTGTGCTAATGGCCACCACAGGCATCACTGATGGACAAGCCACGTCCAGGCACACTGGAGATAAAAGTTCTATCGATGTAACCTACTTGAAATGTATTGCACTAAACTGCAATCATCTGCCTTTGTTGTTGTTGGTGGTGGTTTTTTGATCTTGATCTGTACACCAGGCTGGCCTCAAACTCACGGAGATCCACCTATCTCTGCTTCTTGAGTGCTGAGATTAAAGGCGTGCGCCACCACCACCTTGCCTTTTATACAGCATGGCTAAATAAAAACATGAGACTTATATTCATGGCCACGACCCTCTTTTTCTATTTATGATCCCCTGCACTGAGTGAGACTGTAGGTCCGCCAGAGGTAACTAGGAAACAGAAAAAACTCAAAAGGGCCCATTATGGCAGACTTTTACCCATTCCACAGAAGTTACGGCCTCTTAAAGGCTTCCCCAATAAAATTATCCCCAGTGTTATAGCAGGAAATATACAAAAATCAGATCATTCTGATTCCTCTGGCTCCTGGCCAAGCATCTCCAGCAGCAAGCTGCCAGAGGTGGTCTTGCTGGCAACTTACCCACAGCTCCCATTGAAACCAGGATATTCTCCCGAGAGCTAATGTTCTTGTCGTAGGGGCGATATCCATAGAGGTGAGCGGCACTGTTCACCAGCCAGGTGGCATTGAGCACCACAGCGTATCGCAAAAAGGTGCTGACGCACAAGCTGTTCACGAAAGTTTCACCCCAGCAATACCAGGGCACCAACGTGGGCAGGATGAAGCACATGAGCAGGAGGCCGGGCTTGTAGTACCTACAACGAGATGGTACATTTTAGAGTCCGTGGAGAGAGGACTCTCACGTTTCCGTGGAATTGTCCACTCCTGGCAGGCAGGCAGGGTTGTTTTCCCCTTATACCACGAGTAAAGAGTAGCAGGAACCAGCCCCCCAAAAGATGTGGTGGGAAGTCTGAGAGCAAATACTGTTATCTTACTGTGTAGATGGGGCAATACGGGTACAATGAATGACTGCGATCACGGTTGCTTCCTGGGCTGCTGTTGACCTACCTTTGTGCTTTGCTTTCACGACCACTGGAGTCTTATTAGGTGTAGTGTGTGGTGTCATGCCTCTATTTCCTGCTACGGGCATTCTTAGCTCTGCTGACGCACCCCAAAACGCTCTGAGTGTCCTGGACCAACTGCACGCCTCCGACCCTACAGCATCACTAGCCCTCTCCATCAGTACACCAGATACTCCAAGGGAACTGACTCCCACAGCCATGCCTTCCACGTTCACATCGCAGTAAGCTTCCTGCATCAAACTCCTTTCTCTCAGCCTCGACCTCGGGTTCCTTGGCTTAGGCTCCTCCTTCCACCTAACTTGTGCCCCTCCCATGAGTGGGCAATAGTCTCATGCTGCTAAAGGGCCCATTAGTAACGCTATTGCTATGGTAACCACTCTAAGTCTGCATGTAGGACTCCTCAATAGGAAGGGCATCAGCAATGTCCTGGCCAGCCTTCTTATCTCTCACACCCTGTACTTCAAGCAGAGGGCTTCATTCCCGGGACATTCTTGAGGCTTTACCTCACTGCCTTCTGCTTCCATAGTCCCCCTCTGAAACCTGTGATGTCTCCATGCAGCTGGGGATTCAACATCACTTCTCCTAAGTCCTTCCCTGAACTCCTTCAATGAGAACCTCCCTGCTCTTTGTATCTGTCCGGTAGAGACACAGTAGGCTACCTACTCCTTCAAGATAAGGTCTCCATTACACTCAGTTCTCTGTCCTTTTCTATTGGGCAATAACAGGGTTTTTGTTTTGTTTTGCATTTAATTGGTTCCAATCAGATAACACTTACAAAGAAAAATTAATTCATTTCTGTGGCCCATAGGACATAGGTTTTAAAATGATCTGAACATGTAAACCCATTAAGTCATGGCTTTAATTTTACAATTGCTAAGAAAAAAAGGCAGAGTGTAAACCCCACATTCCCAGGGCCACCCCCCTCACTCACCTCCTCTGGAACATGACCAGCTTCTCAGCTTTGAGGTCAGACATGTCCAGTTTTCCACCCTTCTCTTTGACAGCCGGGTGTTTGCGCACAAGCAGCCAGCCCACGTGAGAGAAGAAAAAGCCACGCCGGGAATTGTGAGGGTCGGCGTGAGTTTCTGAGAATTTGTGGTGGGCGCGGTGATCTCGGGCCCATTCATACACATCATTCTGGAGGGACAGGAAAGAGGACCCCAGTAGTGAGAAGAGATTCCTTCTTGGGGGAATGCAAGGGCCCAGAACTCTCAGCCTAACCCACAAAATCCCCAGGACTCTGGCTCAAGAATATGCCGAGGGCGGAGGTGAGGGGCTCCCCTCTGCTTCACATTTGCCTTAGAAGTACGTACAGAAAAGCAACGTACAAGTCCCAGAACACAGCAACAGCATGGTTACTTCCTGAGGCTGTACAGAAGGGAGAGAGCAGACATGCACCCTCATGTTTCATTGGTGGATTTTTTTTTAAGTTCATCCTTTTATGTGTGTGTATGTGAATATAGGTGCATATGGACCACAGCACATGTGTGGTCGGAGGATAACTTTCAGGAATCGGTTCTCTCCTTCCACACAGCAGGCTCTAGAGATCAAGCCCAGATCATCAGGGTTGCACAGAAATCGCCTTTACCCACGGAGCTGTCTTGATGACCCAGACAGTGACTATGGGACAGAGTGCATGTGGAGTATCTTATCTTCTAGCTCGGATTATGAGGCAAGTGGCCTTGGGTCCTAGGGTGCTACTCTATAAAACAGGCGAGGAATGCCAACCAAGGCCAGCGTTAACGCATGAGCACAGGCACATTTCCAAAGGACCCCTGCACTTGTCTGGGTCCTCCCAAAGCTTCAAAAGTACACCACTGTCTCTTCCTTCCCTTTGTTCTCAAGAATCTTGTAAAGATAAAGTTGCCAGGCCAGCGGCAATTGGGCATATCTGGTGAGCACCTCAAATCTTAACAAGAGGGTACTAATTTGGTTTCCTAGTTTCCTCATGCTACAAATTAAACCCACCACTGGCTATCCTGGGTCCTTAAAGCCCAGTAGCCATGAGAGTACCCTCCTAATTCTCTATCCTTGTTCTGCTAAAGTCTGTTGTTTGGACAATCTTCAAGATGTTTTACTTCCCACCATAGCCTTGCACAGGACTGCTGTGTGGACGGAACCAATCTCTGGGCTTCTCCTCATCTGTAAAGGGCAGTAACAGTAGCTGCTACCTCAAACAGCTATGAGGACTTAGTCTATGCCGTTAGATGCTTGGTGTCTGTTGTAAAATGACAGAGCTCCAGGGTCTATGGCACATCACCTTCTGTCCCACTGTGGTGTGGTCTGAGACAGTTACCTCAACGCGTGAGTCAACTGTTCACTTCTGGTCTAGGAATTCAGGGTCAGTACCCGGCTCTGGTGCCCCATCCTTTATACTGAAGACCCACAACAGCCATGCTGTGTGACACCATGGGGACCTTGAAAACTGACCCAGCACTTGGGGGCCCTTTTGTAGTTCCCCTCTCAGTGACTCTATGGCGTATGGACGTCAGCACTGAGTCTGTGCTCTCGGTGACCACAGGAGACTAGACAGGGTGATGGCGGTCCTGAGACGCCTGACTGCCCACCGTGGGGTAGAGACGCAGTAACAGCACAGCTTCTCACCTGGAAAGCCATGGTGTTGGCAATGATGAGGAAGAGCCGCAGCGGCAGGCGCGCCTTGTAAGTTCGGTGGCTCCACAGGCGATGCGCCCCGGCTGTGATGCCCAAGGCACTAATGACATAGTACAAATATGCTGTAGGACGAGAAAGTGGGGGTGTCACCAACAGGCCAGTTCCGTGAGGGAAGGATGCCAGAGGCGGCTTCCGAGCACCAGTCAGCTTCTTGTTTAGCCTTTGGGTAAAGGTCTGGTTTTCCCTGAAGCCCTGAGACGCCTCAGCCTGTGCAACCTCAGCGATTTTACCACTCTGTGCCCCCGGTCGTGGCGAGCATATCAGGGCACCCTCCCAGGGACTGTCTTCTTTGACCTCTAGCTGTCCTCGAAGACATTCTGGTCAGGGAACGGCATTTCTCAACCTAGAACCCACACCCAAGGGCATATGGGAAGCAACAAGGGCGATGGCTAGCTGGAGGAGACACTGAGCAGCGTCCTGTACCCACGAGGCTCTTACCAGCGGGTCCAGAACCACTTCGGCACTGCAGCAGTACAAGGGATCGTCAGATTGCAGTGGCTCCAACATCACCAAGGATAATAAGTCTCATATTCTCCCCATACCTCGAACTAGGTGGGTGCTATCAGTACCATCCATTCTGTGGAAGGTCGATTCTGGATGGGAAGGGCTTGCCTGCTGTTTGAAGGTGGGTTTTCTGTCTCCTGTCCCTTGTTTTAGTCCTACCATCCAGCCCCAAGATCTGTGGGCCCAGCGCCTCTCTCTGCTTGGCTACGCTCCTGTCTACGGGAAACGCTCAAGGCCGGCAGATGAGCACTGCCTCGCTGTCCTTGAGGCACGCAAGTTCAGGAAGTGCCAGTCACAGTCCAACTGGGAAAGAGGACAGCAGTTCACCCATATGTCCCCTCCATTAGCAGGACAAGGAAGCAGGGGCCTTGGGAGAAATGGCTAATGCTGATTCCCTCCCAAAGAACTTCAGAAAACAAAGGGCCTTCAGAGCCTACAGAACTTAGTTGCTATTGGAGACACCACACATTGTACAAAGTGCGCTGTGCCCTTCTGCAGACAGACAGTAACTTTCCTGAGAACGCTCTCTTCTCCTTCCTCCCTTCCTGCCCCTCCTACAGGATCCCAGGGGAGCAACAGACAGCATACTAAGGGAAATTCTGACCATACTTATGTCTGGAAAAATCCTAAGGTAACCAGAGACAGGGGAGCGTTAGGCAAAGCAGACGTCCTCAGTGGAACACCAAGGACACACCTGCACTTGGTTCACGCTGCAGATGACCCAGACAAATTGGGTCCAAAAGCACAGATAATATATCAGGGGTGGGGGGTGCTGGGGGAGGGCAGACCACAGGACACATGGGAGCCCACACAGAACCCAGGCGGTCTTAGGCCTCCTCAGCTCACCTCCCAGTCTAGCACAGAAGAGACTCAGATCCCTGCCCTGTCTCCCAGAGGAAAATGTCCACAACTGTGGGCAGGAAACACCTCACAGCTTTAAATTCAGAAACGGCCTGGGGGAGTTTTGCCCATTAGGCGGTCAGTGTTGTCAAAGATGTCTATTCAGCCCTGGGGTTCTAGAGTCCACGGAGGTACAGAAGACTCTTCAAACAGCCGAGCCAGGGGCAAGGCTGGCAGGGCGCACGGCTGATCTACAGAAGGATCCCATTCCTATTCTCAACGAAGATGGGGTGTCAAGATCGTGAGTGGAATACTTGGTACCTGAAAAACTCTCAAGGACCGTGTCTCCACACTTGTAAGACCTGGGAGGACTGAGGCGGAGGCAGCTAACACTCAGCCCTTCTACATATACACTGTCCTCCAAGAAAGCGGCCATTAGTGTCCAGAAACCCCCCACTGTGCCGAAGAACCCCTTGCTTATGGCCACTCAGAGAGCAGCAAGAGCTCCAGGCTCTCCTTTCCAGTTCAGGGTTCAGAGGTGAAACCACCTGCGAAGTACATGGGTGTATCCGGGAGGCAGCGGCAGCACCAGCCTGCACCCATGGGTCCCCGTGAGTTAGGGGGGGAGGCAGCGGCAGCACCAGCCTGTACCCATGGGTCCCCGTGAGTTAGGGGGCTAGGCAGCTCTGTGACGCAGAGGCACGCTCATACATCACAACCGTCTGAAGGTTGGGGCTGCTCAAGGCTCTGTCCCCTGCCAAGGAGGCATGTGTTAGGTACGGCGTTTGCGGGGGAAGGGTCCGTAGCACGGTGTGGGCACAGCAGATGAGCAGGTCAAACACTCCTGCAACCTCACTTTATTCTAAGAATGGTTTGTTGACTGGCTTGTGCCCAAACCTGAAGTCATACACCCTTTGCACTTGGGTATACAGGAGGCCTGCTCTGGCTGGCCAGGCAGAGAGCTCCAAACAGCTGTGCTTATAACCCCGTTCTGTTCTCTCTTCCTAAACAGTATCGCGTGGCTCTCACCCTCACTGGGCTCAACATGGTGCCGCCCATGAGGCCCCTGGTCTAGTTCTTGGTTCCAAAGTCCCTTAAGCAGGGCCTGCTTCTTTTGTGGCAGGCAGGGCTGGGACAGGTGCCATCAGGTGACTCACACAGACAAGCTCGTTCAGTGGCCTCAGCATCACTGCTAAGAGATTCTTAAAATTCAAGTCCCCCCATACTAATCGCACTAGGCTCTTTTCCCAGCCCAGCTGGTCCATCGGGAACCAAAAAGAAAGGGCTGCTGCCTTGGGTCAGAGGCTACCTCATTAAAGAGCACAAAGAAACCTGAGGTATTGGCCCGGAACAAGGAAGGGGAGTTGCTCACCGAAGAGGCAGGTGTAGACCTTGCAGGAGGGAACCAGTGTGATCCCATACAGGGCCCCCAAGTGCAGCAGGGCCATGAGGATGATGTTTCTCCAGACGTACTCCAGCTTGGGCGGGGGCCCCTCCTCATCCTGGTAGCTGGGGTCATATAAGTCATCTTTTATTTCGGGGCGAACATCTGCTCCCCAGTGGTGAGGATTCTTTTCAAACTTCTCTCCTTCATTCTGCTGTCCCCCAGAGGGGGGCGCTGTGATTGTGGTGGTGGCTGAGTAAGAGCCCGACATCTGCCAGGAGAGGGGGTGGAGAATTAGGGCTGCAAACGCGCGGGGGCAGCAGGGGGTACTTTCCTCTAATGTAACTGCGGAACGATGCAATACCGGCCGGCCATACCCCAGGGCCAAGGCTCCAGGACTGTCGAGAGCACCGCGAAACGGAACAAGGGGAAGTTTCCTGAAATGTGCAGACGCGCGGCGATAAGCCTTATGCTCAAGGGGCAGGACAGATGTTTTATTAACAGCACCCTTAGCAACTCACAAAGGAGACCCTGCAGGTATCGAAAAAGGGTCAGGTTTTACTTTACAGACTAAGAAACACAAGTTGGGGGATCAACTGCCCTGAGTAAAAATCTGGTTATCACCCGGTACAGAAGCAACCATTCAAGGTAGAAAAACTCGGAAATGATGGCTAAATGCTCCCAGCTGCTCTGAACTCTCCCCGACCCCCAACCAGCCACCCACCTAGAAGTCTAATCTGCAAAAGTCCAATCCGCCGCACCCACCAACCTGGGAGGGAGGGGCCATTTGGGGGGGCTCACCTCTTGCAGTATGTGGGCTGGCGTCTCTGCGTCGGGTGCTGCTGGGGTCACGTTCCCAGGGAGGAGAATGCGCAGCGGCGAGCTTCAGACCTCAGGGACTGAGGGCGCTATGACTAAGTTTCTGCAGCCCACTGGTGCAGAGACCCTGAGCTCCCTGTACAAGCCCAGGGCCAGAGCTGGCAGTGAGGTAATCGTGTCCTATGTTTCCTTAGGTTGCTTTATTGATCAGTGACCAGATACAAAATCAAAAGCTAGCTGGCCAACGCAGCCGCGGGCGGAGATAAGGATAGGAAATGAGAGGACGCCAAAATCGCAGCTTGCAGCCACCAGTGTTCAGGAGTCGGAATACTGCAGACACCAACACCGCATTGTCCCATCCCCAGCCAGGCGGGAGGGGGGAGATGCTAATGAGGCTTTCGCAAACTCTGGCTCATCATTGGCCGGCGGGAATTTGGTACCACCTCGGCCTGCTGCTCTCATTGGCTCTGCACAATCTGCTGTTCCCTCTGCCTCCAACTCCTCCCCCCCTCCTCCCCTCTTTTTCTGCCTCTTGGCTTCTCACCCATCCCCCGCTGGCCCTCCGCCCAGCCCCCACCCTGCCACGGGGGCGCTTCGGCGCTCTCCCTGGGAGAGAAGACCCAATCCAGCAGTGGGGGTTGGCTTCCAGGCCAAGAAGACCCGGCGAGGTACATAAAGGTTGCAGAGTTTGGGGAAGCCACGATAGCGCCGACCCCTCATAACTCCATCCGGTCTTGGCATTTCCAGAGGCGCGTGGGAGGGGAAATGGCTACCACCGACCGAGAGCAAAGCTGAGCGGGGCCTGCTGGCCCGCCTCCCTCCCCAACAGGCGCCTCTGTAGACCCGGCTGGAACAATGGCTCTGCCTCGCCCACCAGCCCCAGGATGCTTACCGGATCATACTCGGAGCTCTGGTGCCATAATCAAGTTTTCATAGATCTGGGGCCTGCCCAGTCACACTAGGCGCAGTTACTAAGTCACTGTACACAGCCACGGTCACAGTCGGCAGTATCCAACCCCCACCCCCACCTTCATGCTTTCCAAATGCACGAGGCACCTTTGGGAGACTCTTCTGTCGGGCTGGAGTTTTCTGCAGTTTTCCTTATGGAAAAGACCAGGAAACAGCAGGCCCGAATGATTACTGCAAGCCTCGCTGTGACTGCGCAGTGGCTACTCCATCTTTCCACTTTTAAACCGGAGGGACGTGACCTACACAGATGAGATAGCTCGCGAGTGGTCTCAGCCGGGAAGTGGTGGAGCTGGCTGAGGGCACAGCCATGAGAAACTGATGCCCAAGCTCTCGGCCCTTCCTCAGGACCCTGTGGCCTTGGACCTGTAGGTGCTCTGATCTCACAGACCTCTCCTTCACGGGCCCATCTTCTTTGGTTCTGTGTTAACGGTGCCAAGAGAGCCTGCTGCCTCGCAGGCTGCACATTCACAGAGTCTGCTTCCGTATGCAGGTCACCCCATTATTGCCCACCTCCTCTAGGAAAAGGGCATGATAGAGATTGCCATGTGACTGGTTGCTCAAGAAGAGAGATGCCGGGCATTTCTTGGGAGCAAGACAGACCTCTTGCCTTCTGGTTGGGGGTGGGGGTGGGGTGCTCGCCAGCTCTCTAGCTCGCGACCAGACACCTCCACTCCAGGCCTGGTTTCCCTGGCCAGTGCTAGCTAGGAATGCTGAATGGGACCAGGTGTTCTCAGCAAATGGCAGTTGGACTGTGGTGGCTCAGAAGGGCTGTGTGAAGTTATCTGTGAGTGCCCGCTACCCCTCGGTTGTCTGTGTGATGTCTGATCCGCTCGGTTCTTTCATCAGCTGTGTCCTTGGCTGCTAAACAAACTCCCTTAGACTGTGAGGCATGCACAAGAGAAATCGGTTTCTCACCGTTTGGGAGGCTGGGCATCTACATGGCAGCACCAGCCCTCTGATATCTGCCCAAAGTGGGCCTCTGATTCACAGGCCGGCATCTTTGCTCTGTCTTCAATGGGAAGGGGTGAGTGTTGTCTCTGGGGTTTCTCTTTTTTAAAAAAAAAGATTTATTATTAATTTTAATTGTGTGGATGTATGTGTGCTTGTGAGTATGTACACATGAGTACAGGTACTTGAAAAGCCAGAGGTGGTGGATCCCCCAGTGCTGGAGTTGAGCAGTCTAATGTGGGTTCTGAGAACCAAACTTCTCATCCTCTGGAAGAATAGCAAGTGCTCTTAACCGCTGAGCCATATCTCCACCCCTTCGTGTTTCTTTTATAAGGACACTAATATCATCCATAAGGGTGAAGCGTCACCTTCCAAGTGACCGTTCCAAATACTGATGAGGTTTCACCATCAGAGTTCAGATTTCCAAGTATTGCACTCTTTCAGGTAGAAGATGCAGGGCTTCCCTTGGGATGCTTTAATTGCTGCCTCTGGCAGCTCTGTCTGAGACAAACTGGCCCTTGCACTTACTCGGCCTGCGGTCCTCAGTGCTGCTGGCATTGATAACCCAGAGCTGGTTGGCGTTGTTACTTAAGCCAGTTGCTATTGCATTCATTGTCTTCCAAAGAAAGTTCGAGGAGGCTTGCCAAGACAACAGTGTAGAACAAGAGTCCTACATTTCTCTCCAAGACAAGTTGCTGCCCTGGGGAGAAAGTCCTGGGAGCCTAGATAAGTGCTGAAGTATGGGGAGAATGAATTCCAGGGAGAAAGGAGGTGGAAGCAATGTTGAGGAACAGGAGAGGCCGCTGCCCGCTTCATCCTATGTGTGCCCGCTTCAGGAGTCCCCGCCTGCGCACAAGATAAAGCCGTGTGGTAGGAGCGACATGGGGCAGCGTGAGGCTTGGCAACAAGTATTAAGTGACCATGAGGTTGAAAGCTCTCGGTAGTATGTATGTGATGAGCATTTGTCTACACTTGGGTTTGCAGTGATGCGGGAGCTATTTGGTACAGCAGTGCACAGTGCACCCTTGGAAGATGGACGTGAGCTGTAACATTCCACTGTGAAACAGGACACACGGGCTTACGGCACTTTTAATCTTGACCCTTCAACTCAAGAGAGTAAGCATAAAATACTCCCCACTTAGGCATCTTAAATAAATAAGTTCATTTCCAACAGGAGTTCCTGTTGGCCACGGATGAAGCCTGTACTTCTTGCCATGACTTTGGAGGCCCTCTGGACCCTGGACCTTTCCTGCTTATGTTTCCTTTAAAGGTCCTCATTTCTCTTCATCCCTTGATATTTCACGTTAAAACCTACTAACACTCCTTTCCTTTTGCCTAGAACATTCTGCCCTCCAGCCTTTACCCACTGTCGACCTTACTGATTGCTGGTTGTCCTTTTTGGTTTTGTTTCTAATCACCCAATGGTTTACCAGGCTGGCTCTCCATGTCATGTGCTCTTTAAGGCCTTTGTGGCTTCTGCTCTTCTGCCACTTGTACTGAGATTTACAGAGAAGATAGGTTTGAGTGCCTGACCCAAGGAGGGCTTTCAGTGGGCGTTTGTCCACTGAATTTGTTACATCCATCGTAAATAGGAGATATTTGAAATATTACCTCCTTATTATCTCTTCCAGGACCATTCTCTTTTAAGCAACAGATGAGCATTATAGCAAAGGTTGTTTTGAAGAGATGCACCTTCAAGGTGTATATTGTTTCTTTACTTCTCAACCAGGAAGACAAGTCATAGGAATTTCTAGGTCTGGAGAAGTGGGGAGCAGAGGTGTGGCACATGAATGGAGAATCTTTGGTCTGACATCACTTCGGGGGCCTTGCAGTCAGCCTCACACTGCGGCATGCTTTCTGCCTCTCATTTCTAAGCCAAAGGCAGGAACTAGCCAGGCAAAGAGAATAAAGAGGAGGGGGCACATACTCGACTCTGAGCTGGCTTCATTCTAGTTCAGGAAAGCACGTGCTAGAGAAACGCCGCCTTCAGTTGTTCCATGTTAAACGGCTGTCACAGTGTGAACTCATCATTCTCAGGGAGGGAGAAGAATAAAAATTACTGTAAGCAGTTATTATTCCCTATCATGTTCAGATGCAGAGTAAGTATTTTCTCATGCGGAGTTAGGTCAGGCTCTTCCCATGAGCTCCATAAGGAATGTAAATTAATAGTCATCTTTTTATTCACTCTTTTATTTCACTCCCTTTGTCTTCCTCTCTTTCTTTTTCCTCCTTCCTTCCTTCCTTCCTTCCTTCCTTCCTTCCTTCCTTCCTTCCTTCCCTCCCCCACCCTTCCTTTCCTTCATGAACAATTCCAATCCAAGGACATCAGATAAGTAAAGTATTTGTCCTCCAAGTGGTTGGACTTCCGGAGCGCAGAAGTGTCTAGAATTAGGTGCTGCCATGTGAGCCACTGAAGAGTCCTTGTTCAAGATGCTGTTTGGCCCTGGGTGCTGAAGCCCGAGGGGAGAATGCCAAGGACACTTCACTCCACCCGCCCCCCACCCGGGGAGGAGCAGCCTGATTCGGGGTGTTGGATCCCAAGTACAATGAGGAAGGTGACTGGTTGGTGAAGAAGTGGCGCTTTCGCGGTCTCTGGGAATCTTCCTCCTGGAAGGGGCTCTCGAGAGGGGCTGAAGGTCAGCTCTGCCGGTTCGTTCTGTTCTGCTGCAGACTCTGAACATCTGAGAAATCTTACTCAAGACTTAGTTTTCAAGTTTAGGAAGGTAGTGTGTCAAGGTAAAAGGAACATTCTGTTCTCGTTTTATTGAAATGTTCGTTAGCTTGCTTTATAAACCCATATGGGGGTGTTTCTTCTCTTGCTAGGGCCTTGGTATCTTTTGTTTTCCACTCATTATTCTTAGGAGATAAATTAAGAATGTATGATTTAATAAGCTGTCTGTGGGCTGGGGTGTGGCTCAGTGTTAGAGTGCCTGCCCGACGTGTGCAAGGCCCCTTTCTATCAGCAGTGCAAGAAAAAGAAGAAAGAGTTGAGCGCTGTTGTTCACACATGTCATTTCCTCACTTGGAAGGCTGAGGCAGGAGGAACCTGAGTTCAGAACAAGCCTAGACTACATTGTGAAACCATGTCTAAAATAATAAACAGCCCGGGCCGTTTATCACGTCACTCTAAATTGCTGTTACACATTTTATAAACCAGTTGGCACAGGGATAATTCAGGTATGGGAAAACCACGTGCCAGGCAGTCATTGTAGAGCTACAGGTCACAGGTGGAAATAGGCAGGCCTGGGTAGTGTGATGCCCCTTCCACGTGGTGGGATAGATGTGCCCCTGTCTCGGCCCTGTCTAGACTGTCCCCCGGTGCACTTGTGGGATATGATCTTCTGCGTGAGTCACTTTGCTCTACAAAAGCCAGGGTATCACAGTCAACTTATTCAAAGTTCAT